CTCTCTCTCTCTCTCTCTCTCTCTCTCTCTCTCTCTCTCTCTCCCTCCCTCCCTCCCTCCCTCTCTCTCTCTGACTGATGTAAATAAGAGAGTCATCTATGCATGATTTTGACACTCAAATCAGTGGTGGGATTCAAAGTTTTTACTACCAGTTCTGTGGGCGTGGCAGGGAAAGGTTACTGCAAAATCTCCATTCCCTCCCCACTCCAGGGAAAGGTTACTGCAAAATCTCCATTCCCTCCTGATCAGCTGGGACTCAGGACACAGAGAATAGATGGGGGTGGGGCCAGTCAGAGATGGTATTTACCGCTTCTCCGAACTACTCAAAATTTCCGCTACCGGTTGTCCAGAACTGGTCAGAACCTGCTGACTACCACCTCTAACTCGAATTTGTAATTTACAACTCTCCTAAATCTAACGGTCAAAATCATATAAAGAGCATTATAAAGTAACCAATGTAACTTGTGTGTCACAAGAGGAATGTGAACAAAATATTTAGAAAATGATAACATGTGGTAGTATTTGCATGTGTTGTAAATTGATTTAATGGATTTAGTTAAGGGATGTCTTAATCACCTCCCTTGTGGAATCCGCTCCATTGGGCTGCCCTTGAAACCATCTGAAAGCTACAAATGAATAGCTTCGGAATACCGTGGCATGGACTGGTTGCCTTGTGGTTCACTTGAGTAAACCAGTACTGTGTGGGCTACATTGACTTTCAGTTGCTTTCCCAGTGCAGTTCAAGGGGCTGGTTCAAACATCAATTGGCAAAGGTCTAGGTTACTTGCAGGCAATCTCCCCCAGGGCATTTTTCCATCATACTAAGTTACTTAGGGTCGGCGGGCTCCAGATGTCCTTCCTTAAATGTTGCCATCTGATAGGTCTTCGGAGGCAAACTCTTTGGATCTTTGTCCCACCTTAGATCCGAGAGATTCCTACCCTTTTATTCTTCCATAGGGCTTGTCAGAGTTCCGACTATTAGGAGCAACATGTCAGCATGTACCCAAGTGAAGCCAACTTTGACCCCACGTAATTTACGACCCAATTATGACACTGTTTCCCCACCCCCCAGGGTGTGTCATAAATCACATTTTCCAGCGGAGCACTTTCATGGGCTGTAGAGATCACGCTCCTCCGGCTGCTGCGGGTAACCTGGGAGACAGCCTTGAGAAAGATATGCCTGGAATGTGCTTCTGTTTGTGGTTGCTGTGCTGCGTCATCAGATTCCCATCCCCCTTGCCTATGGCAACTCGAGAGCAGGCCAGGGATGCTTTGCAAGTTGACAGGGCCTTTTTATCCAACCTTTGGACTAGGATGGGGGTTGAGCTGGGCAGATATTTGATCTGGTGCCTGGGAAGGGAGGAATGGCACTTTTGTTTTTAACCATGGTTTTTTGGATTGTTGAGAGTTGTCTAGATTCATCGTATGAGACAGGCAGTCATATAAGTTTTGTAAATAAATGTCCATTAAGTAGTTTTTTCTTCAAAATACGCTCATTAGTTTTACACTGCTGTCCGCTGTAAGCAATACTGGGGAACTCCCTTTTAGTTCATCCATCCCATTTCCTTTTTCTTCGCAGGGAATGGGTCTTGTTAATCACGTGTTCAGCGAAGATAGTCTGAAGAAGCTCTACGTTTCAAATCTTGGAATCGGCCATACAAGATACTCTACCTCTGGGGTGTCTGTCCTTGATAACTGTCAACCGTTCGTGGTGGAAACTTTGCATGGGAAGATTGCGGTCGCCCACAATGGAGAGTTAACAAATGCAATGCGACTGAGGAGAAAGGTAGAGATCTGTTTTCCTAAGATGAGAAAGCTGAAAAGGATAGTAAATTCACTCATAATAGAGAAGGTTTATAGCCATTTGGTAATAATAGGATGCAAAGATCATTATAAGAGTACAGTCCAAATTCATTAATACAATTCAAAGATAAATTCCTTGTGTGTCCAATCATACTTGGCCAATAAAGAATTCTATTCTATTCTAATGTATAAATTGTAAGGATCGAGATCAGATGGAAAGAAACCTAAATTCTAAACCCAACCCTAATGTACAACAGCAATGTGAGCTTGTATGAAGCTTTCTCTTCATCTTATTAGCCATCTTGGAATACTGCATTCAGGTTTGGTCGCCACAATGTAAAAATGGTGTGGAGACTCTAGAAAGAGTGTAGAGAAGAGCAACAAAGATGATTAGGGGACTGGAGGCTAAAACATGTGAAGAACGGTTGCAGGAACTGGGTATGTCTAGTTTAATGTAAAGAAGGACTAGGAGAGACATGATGGCAATGTNGATCTGACGGGTCTTTGGGAGGTAATTGGCAGCAGGCGGTCTCTCAAGTATGCAAGCCATACCTCTAATATAGTAGAGAAAGCGACTTCAGGGGGGGAAATGGCAACTGAAGACTGACTCTACTAAAAGCACAGCCAATAACCATGGTGGAATGAAGAGTCAGTAAATAAACCACCTTTTTTTTAATTGCTCCCTGGACAATGAAGAGACTTGAGGTTACCCAGAGTTGCTCCAGAGAGTTCCTTCTCATGAGAATACTGCAAGACAGCAGTCTCCAGAATTAAGAGTTTTGGGACCCAAGGGAATAATCTTTTTGCACAAACCACGGTCAAAATAAAATAAAATTGGGTACACACACTTTCTTTACAAATCACTTTCAGAAAATGCTTGTTAACTCTTTTAGGTTTTAGGAATTTTGGGAGCAACAAATTTCAAAACAATCGTTGAGTTTTTTCCAAACCTTAATAAAAGTGGTTTGAAATACAATTTTTAAGGATTTTTTTTTTAAACGGGGTGGTGGATAAGCAGCAAAAAGGTAATTAGAAGTTTGATTTTGGGGAGTTACAGGTCCGGATGGTTTTGGAATTAATAAGGTTTTGGAATTAATTATAAGAATCCTTCCCATGAGAAAATGCTTTTGTTTTTAGTTATGACTCTAGATATTAAGACCTTGGAATTCTGGAATAATTTTTCTTCTCGTGAAAACCTATCCTTGTCTAATAACTATGAGGTCTATGGAAACCAAGTTAAAGGGTGTATGTGGACCAGGATCATATATTCAGCATTAGAACTTCTTTTTCTTCCTAGTATATTCCCGCAGGTACAGGATCCGCTTTTCGGATCATTGAACACCACTTTCACAATTCAGCATTAGAACTTACCAGGAAAAATGATCTTCCCAATGAAATATTGCAGTGTGAGAACTTTTCTTTTAAAATTTCAATCAACCGTCTCCTTTTTACAGACTGTTTCTTTCCATCTCCCCATTCCCACAATTGTTTTTATTTAATGTTGTGGTTTCTTCATGTGTGATTTTGGTTTTAAGAGGAAGAGTTATTTTCTTACAATTTAGAAAACTTTTTTCAGATCTTGGGGTCTTCACAACACCTGTAAAAATCCTTCAACCATGAATGGCACCTTTTGGGTGACATAAAGATCCAGTCTCAGAAATACAGGTTCCTTACCTGCTCTTCTTTTTCTCATAGAGGCCAAGAGAGTGCCGGGATTGTGACAAGTGATGGAGAATCAGCCCATTCTTTCAAAGTGCACAAGGTAAATATTATCTGGCATTCCTGAGGTGGGAAGGGAGGAGAAGATAATTTAGAAGATGTTGATGAGCCATTAAACGGTGTTAACTTTAGCTGCCTCATAAATAGATTTTCTTTAGAAGGAGCTGTGCCCAGCCTAGTATTTCAGGGGTAAAAAAAAGAAGATGTGGAAATTACTCTTAATTTGTTTTCTCTCTTTAAATATGAATGCTGTAAGAACTCAAAATCAATCTCTTTCTCTCTCTCTCTCTCTCTCTCTCTCTCTC